ATATAAAAATCAAAGAAAAAAAATTTTTCTCAAATTTTGAATTTTCGCTACCTTATATATATGTTGCAGTAGGGATTGGAATCTAGTTGAGATTGGAATAGTGATTTTTTTTTATTATTCATCCATTGTGATATAGTACTCATCGATGAACAACTAGTTTGTTTTTTATCAGATTTTTTCCACTAAGAAATACTGTCTTTCCTGTTTTTATACTTAAAATCTTCTTTTTTCTCGTTTTATTTTTTAACTCAAGCATATGGCGACAATGACGTACTGGTTAGAATTTGTTCCATTATCTTTGAAATCTTTCTCTCTGATTAAGAAACACTCTGTTCTGTTTTTTCTAGGAATTAAAATCTTTTTTTTTGTTACTATATTTTTTTAAGTCGTGGATATGGAAATATTCAGTGATTGCTCAGAATTTATTTCGTTATGTTCGAAATATTTTTCTCCGATTAAGAAATACTCTGTTCTGTTTTTTTAGTAATTAAAATCTTTTTTTTCTCGTTTTATTTTTTAACTCGGAGACATGGGGACATTCACCGATCGGCCAGAATTTATTTTTCTTTTTTTGTGAAATCTTTTTTTTTTATTAATAGATATTCTTTTTCCTCTGTTAGCAATTAAAATCTTTTTTTTCTTGCTTTATTTTTTAACTCGGGGACATTCACCGATCGGCCAGAATTTATTTTTCTTTTTTTGTGAAATCTTTTTTTTCTTGCTTTATTTTTTAACTCGGGGACATGGGGACACTCAGCGATTGGCCAGAATTTATTTTTCTTTTTTTGCAAAATCTTTTTTTTTTGATTAATAGATATTCTTTTTCCTCTGTTAGCAATTAAAATCTTTTTTTCTTGCTTTATTTTTTAACTCGCGGACATGGGGACATACAGCGATTGGCCAGAATTTATTTTTCGTTTTTTCCAAATCTTGTTTTTTGATTAATAGATATTCTTTTTTCTCTGTTAGCAATAAGGGTGTGGGTGTGGGTGTGAGTAAAGGAAAGAGCTGTATCTACACCCACATCCACACCCACACCCAAGTTTGTTTCGACACACAAAATAGAATAAATCACATAATTAAAAGTTCGCCATAAGTAATCTTTTTTTCGCATCACTCTTAGCAACAAACCTCACTCTCTAAAATGACATCAAGAATCAATTCATTTTTTTTTCTTCATTTGTCAATCAGTAAACATAATTGACTCTAGTTTTTTTACTAAAACTAATAATTTTAAAAAATCTATGATTGAATGTGGTAGATTAGATTAATATTATAAGAAAGAATCATAATACTTCCTTTGAATATCAAAATAAATAAAAATTGATAGATTAATTATGATATGACTCATACAAACAAAACAAATATTGAGTAAATGAGATTAGAATTTTCTTTTCCAACATTTTATTTACATTTTACTTATGAAAATAATATACATTAATATATTGCGAACCGATAAAATTCATAAGATTACATTGTAAATGATTTTCAAAAAAAGTATTTTTCTTTTTAGTATGTTTGCAATTATTAAGCGCAGAGTTTTTTTTGTTTTTCTTTGTTTTTCTTATTTTTCTTTTTTTCGCGCATTCCAATCTCAACTGAATTCCCATGTCAACTGTGACATATGTTCAGTCATTTTGCCCACAATTACCTACACACAACTATCTAACACACAATTGTCCATACACACAATTGTCCTACACACAATAGTCTTACACACAATAGTCGTGCTACCATCTCCCACACCCACCCCATCTCTGAGATCCCCGATTTCCTGGATCTGTGACACTGCTGAGTAAAGAAAAGGGAATAAACCAGGGATTCGCTGCATAGAGACGAACAGTTCGTGCAGTTGAAGAGCTTAAAAGTGATCATATTTTTCATGAACATTCAAGATTTCAAATTACTCAATTTCAATTTCTTTGGGCAACATATCATGATATCAGCCAGAACTTTTTTGAAGTAACAATAATATTCTTTTGATGTTACTTTCATTTTTGTTTCGCTCAGAATAATGGAATATTTCACCATGGCGCAGTGATGACTTTAAGCCTTATAAAAATATTCATTTAATTGCTCCAATAGGGTTTTTCATCACCGTTCTTGTAGAGAATTTGACGGCGCATCTTGCAAAAAACAAAACTCAAGACTCTATGACTTATCTGTGGTGAGATATTTACAAAATGCTCTATGTTGCGATCATTATACCTCAATCAGTATATGTAAAGAGAAAAAAAAAGAGCAGAATAATAAAGACAAGCGAGTCATACATCATCATCATTACACACTATTTAATAATTACTAAACTTTTCAGATTTTTTTCATATTTTATGCAATTCTTCTCTTAGTATCATTTTGAAAATATTCGATTATCATAGGAAATATTTGATGCAACAACAATCATGCCAGCGGTAATGTCATTCTAACGTTTTTACGCTTTTTTATTATATAATATGATTTTCTTATTCTAGCTCGACTGGAAAAGCTTAATCAATCATGATCCAAGATTATCAACCTCATCTGATGAACTTGCATCAAATATTCGACAAATTCTTGATTTAATTAACTCTAAATCATCGGAAATTCCAGTTTTCACAACAGATGATTACACGATATTAGGTAATGCAGCACGTCGTGCATTGGACCCAACCTTATTGAAAGTTTTAAATGAGAATAATTGCAATGATTCCAATTTTGTTTTAAAATTAGTTGAAATTTTTATTACAAACATCGATGATTTAGCATGTTTCATAGTATCTGAAGAACAAATTGATGGTATATCATCAACTATTTTGAATCGTTTAAAAGGTAAATTGGAATGTCGTGGACAGCTATTAAAACTTGGTTTGACATCTGAGAAAACCTTATTAGACAAAATTACAACAAACTACTTAACATTAGTTTCATTTAAATCTATGTCATATCAACGACTAAATGAGTATTGTCGTGAAATAATCCATGATGATCATAAAGAAATATTAGAGAAGTTATGGGTGAAAGGCAATGATTTACGTGAAAAAGTTCAAAAATATAATTTGCCATTAGAAATTACCGATCAATTTCGAAAGCATAATATTTTGGCAATTAATGATTTAACAGAACAAAATATGCAATTAATAATTTCTGAACTTTCTGACAAAGTAACCGATGAACATGAAAAGTCCAGACTAAATCGTATAAAAGCTAATTTGAAACGTTTATATCGAGAAGAAAGTGATGAACAAAAAACAGAAATAAAGAAAAAAGAAACTGTTTGTGCGAAACGATTAAAACGGACAGAAGAAGCTATACAATTAGTTACAAAAATGTTAAACAACTTAAAAGATAATTCATCTTCAACTAGCACAAGTGTAAAAGATTGTATGAAATTAATTAGTGAAAAATTAGAAATACCAGAATGGAAATTAAGTGAAAATGAATTAAATGAACCAAATGAAATATTCGACCAAATATTGAAAGAATTAAATTCAGTTAAGAACTTAGATTTGAAAACCAAAGAATACTCCGACGAAGAATTGATTGCACGTATTAGTGGTGGAACAGTACTGTATGGTGTTTCATTTATTGATCCTGAACGACTGGGTGAAAAAGCTACAAGACCATTATTGCGGCAGCCGGAGTATTGTTCATTAAATTTACCTGAATTACCATTTAAGATGACTTATCATAAATTTACAAGTATTGATGCTAGTAATCAGTTCGAGAAAATAGTTAAAACATGCGGTTACACTGTAGCAGCCAATCTATCAGCAAGCAAATGGGGCTTTCACCTTGATGGAGAATTAAATATAGTTACGAAAAATAGTGTTGAACAATATGAACAAGATTCAAAGCTATCAACAGACATTTTTCTAACATATTACTCATTTTTACCGATGAAATCATTTCGTATACCAATTGAAGAAATGCGATTATCAAAAGAATCAGAAACTTTTGCACGTTCTATAAATAATTTAAAATTAGCAAAAAAATTTTTAAATGATTTTAATTCACATGTATCTACTGGTATAAATCATCTCGGTGGGATTTATTTATGTACAATATCCATAACAACTGATAGTTTATCCTCTGTTGATAACTTAGAAAAAATTGGAGTAAATCATTTTAATACGGCAATTGGTGCCGGTTTTCAAAAGCTCAATATAGGTGGAAGTATTTCTTACGAATCATTTGACGATATTGGTGAACATACACAAAGCGTACATAAAAACAAACAAGCTAAAGTTAAATCTCATATCAGTTGTTACGGGCCACCATGTACGAATCGTGATTTGTTTAGTCAAATAATAAATACTCATAGTTCAACTTGGCATTTAATTGATCGATCCGATTTAAAATCATTAGTACCAGTATGGGAACTGATGAAAGATCATACAGATCCATACGTACGTGAAGCAGCTAAATTTATTAAACGTGCATGGTTAGAACAAGCTTTGAAATACTCTCATATACCTGTAATTGATTGTGAAATTAAACGTGTCATGTTAGATGCATGGAATCCATCAATGATTGAAATTAACTTACCAGTTCAGCAGTTTATTTCTAAACGAGAAAAAAATAATTATCATGATGCTGTAATTAGTTTAGAAAATATGTTAGAAAAAGATTTTTTTTCATTACCAATTAATGATAATCATAATGGTGAAGAAATAGCAAAAATAATTCGAACTATATGTCATAGTGTTTACAATGCAAACTTAACCGTTGGTTTCAACTTATTACCAACGATACTTGTCCGAGATAAGATGAAAAGTTTTCTACATACGGTTGCTATAATTTGTGCGAACGATAGTGAAAAACTGCGCTTAGTCGTACCAGCATTACAGCATTTATTGAGCAGCGAAACAATTTTAAGATTACAAGAACACAGTATTTATTTAGACGAAATTATAAAAAATTTAATACAAAAAGTTCAACAATTTCAAGAAACACAAGAAAGTCGTGAATTTGATACTGATAATCTGTTGATCAGCACATCTGTTACTATGTTGAATGATTTACCAACTAAATTACGAAATATGCATGCAATAAACACGGAAAATGAAAGCATTCTTGCGCATAAAATGGTACAAATAATAAAATTAAGTTTAATCAAAGGTGAATCTGTTTCACAGCAGCAACTTGGCGTATCGAAACAATTAGAAAATATGTTAACCGATCAACATGGCTGGACAAATGATGGATTTATTACTGAACCATTGACTCATGAAGGAATAAAAGCTGTAATTAAGGATATTGAAGATAAATTAAATGAAATTCAAAATCTATCAGTTAATGTTATGCAACAACCAACAGAAGCACAAGAAAAAAGCCGAACGGATAGTTCTACTATGTATCTTACCAATACTAGCACAAGCAATGATGCTGAACAAGAAAAATATTCTCATCTCGACTGGATAATTGATCGCCCAGTAAGAAACATACAAATCGATCCGGTCGCTGGATTTATTGATAGACTTCGTCATAGAATGAAGCTTGATGCATTTTGTCCAAGATCCTCTGTAGCTATGTCGGTTGCTGATGAGGATCAACAATTATTAGATGAATGGAGTAGTAATGTTGATGCAAATCAAGCAGACCAAGAGCAGCGGTCTACAACTGATAATCAAAATCAATTTTTTTATGATATTGAGAATAGTTCTACACAATTAAATAGTTTAACAGATACGTTAGTTTATTTAACAAACAATTCCAAACTTACTTCGAAAATAGAACTTTTTCGTTTATTAATTGATCGTCGATATGCAATACCAATTATTACGACAAATATTAATCGAAAATATAAACAACCATTTCAGTATCATGTTGATGTTTTAAAATTCATTCCATTGCCTTCAATTGATCATAAAATATCGTATTTAGACGACAATAAGAACTTGTATCGTATTGCTATTGTTTCAAGAAAATCAATCGCAGAAAGCGAAACATCTCATTTAATCTCAAAAACATTTGGTAGTCATTCAACGCATGAGTTACAACGATCGGATAATACCCAATTGATAATGGCCGAAATTGCTGACGGATACATAGATGATCAAAATGATACAAAATGGTCATTTCTTATTTTACATGTAGTAGGAGATTACACAAAATTACGCTCGTTTATATGTGAATTTACAAATCTAGTAATTATTGAACAAGATCCATCGATTAAACAAGTTTCGGAAATCTCCACAACAACTTTTTCAAGTATACCTGTTATCATTTGGAATGTTTCGCAGAAAAATGTAAGACCAAAACGCGAACATCAACATTACGTGTTAACTGGTACAATTAATGGTATAGTTAAGAATTTACAAGCAGCATGCATGACTCGACTCAAAAATTTTAAGGGCAATTCTAATAGTTTAAGTTCAATAAATAATATAGAATTATTTTATCGTCCAATACTTAGTAAGATCAATGTACTTGCTGTTATTCGAAGTCAAGATTATTCGACGTTAAGACAAGAGAAATTATTATTACAAAAGAGCTTTAACATTGAATCAAAATATCGAATAGAATTAAATCGTTTAAAAAATGACTATTCCGAACAGCGTGCATTTCAGCATAAAATTCGAGAACAAGAACAAAATCGTCAAGTTAGTATGTCCGACATAGAAAAATTAGATATCATCAAAATTTTTATAAATATTTTACAACATCCAAATTTTGATCAAAGAATGGTAGCTATAAATGAATTAATTAATGGTATCGATGATTATTCAGCATCAGTAGTACATGATGTACGAAGAAAACGTGATGAGGCATTTCATGCATATCAACAAGCAGTTAGACAAAAGACCGATGGTGATTTTTATAAAGCGAAATTTGTTGAAGCTAAAGCTATCTATGCAGCCACTATTGTTTCTATCGAACATTTATGGAGAGAATGTAGTCAATTATATTCTTGTGATCCAGAACGATACTTCTATTATCCAGAATTGGCTGCACAATATTTGATTGATGGATTTCCAATAGAGTTATTAGATGGAGATGCTGGTATAATTTGCGATAAATGGATTCGTGCAGTATTAAATTCATTAAACAGTAAATTGCAAGAAAAAACAAAAAAGAGAGACATCAAAATTTTCGTTTTAAGCATAATAGGTGTCCAAAGTTCTGGTAAATCGACACTATTGAACATTATGTTTGGTGTACGTTTTCGTTCAAGTGCTGGTCAGTGTACTCGTGGCGTTAATATCCAATTAATTAAAGTAGAAAATCGTGATGCATACGATTATATATTATTAATGGATACTGAAGGTAAGCCCCAATGATAATAACGAACTTGCCATACAATAAAATATGATTAGCAGTAGTTTGAATCAGCGTTGTTCTTGAAGGATAAATTTCTTCTAGAAAAGATTTTTGACAATATAAAATATCAATCAGTTTGGGATTTTCTTGAAATTTATGTGAATATTATTTTTTCATGATATTTTTCATAAGATAATAGCATTAGTTAATATAAAGAGAGATTCACTTGCGTAATAGAACACTTTTTATCTAAACTCAAATTTTCCGAGCTGTCGTAGAAGTGAGTACTCTCTAAAAAAAATTGGTGTCATAGTGAACCTTTTAAGGTTTTAGACAAGCCTTGAACCTTTTAAGGTTCTAGATTTGGGTACCATTTTAAGAACCTTATTTTATAGTTTTAGCTGAAAAATTTAGAACTTAAAAACGTTCTAGATTTTCTGGCTAGAACTTTAAACAGTTCAGTGCCGTCGGCTAGAACTAAAAAAGGTTCTTAAAATGGTACCCAAATCTAGAACCCTAAAAGGTTCAGTCGTCCAACTTTTTTTTACAGAGTAGTGCAACTTCTTATTGAACAAACATAACATAGTAGAGATAGATCATGATTTATCGATATCGAAATTACGTGAATATTATATTTCTAATTATAGTATCTGATCTGCACATTCGATATTAGACGCGCACTTCTACGCGCTGATGTATAAAATTGTTTTTTTTTAGCAAAACCATGAAACCTATCGGAAATTTTCAGCTCTATAATGAATCTTTGTTTCATTTACACAAATATAAAGTAAAACTCTGCAACTTAGCAGACGAAATTATTACGTAGTGTATGCGTCTTCATATTTGATCGAATTCAATTGGCTTCTTTTAGGTCTTCGTGCACCTGAATTGAAAGATTTAGAACAAGCGGCATGGAAAGATAATCGAATGGCAACATTTGCCGTTCTACCAGCGGATGCAACAATAATTCTTGTCAACGGAGAACAAGATGAAACATTGAAAGACGTTCTTCCCATTGTGATGTTAGCTTATCAACAATCTCAACTTGCTGAAAATTATGGTAATCAACTAGCCTCCATGATGCTCTTTGTATACTCTCGTGTTGATGTAAAACAGATTGATTATCTTATACCCAATGTTCAAGAACTATTTCGTAGTTTAACAACATCGTTTCAATCATTGCAATATTTTATCAATTTAAATGGCAGTAATCAAATGGAGTGCACATTATTTCGAGATTTTCGATTAGATATAAATCATCATAACGATGGTGACATTCGATTTCTTGGCAACATCAAAAACAAAGATGGCACCATAGATACAGATTATGGCATAGCTGTAACAAAATTGCGTGAATATATTCATAGCCGTGTTACTTCATCTCAAACAGTATCAGGATGGAAATGGACAGCTCGAACATTAAATGATTTTGCTGAGTTTATAGGTACAGTTTGGCGATGTATAATATCATCCGATTTCAATCTAACATTTTCATCAGCAATTGAAAGAAAAGCTTATGATCAGTTAGATACACTCTTAGCAGAAGCAACACACAATTATGCTTCCATTTATAATTTAGCATATGAGTCAATTGAAAGAGAAATAATTAGAGATACAGAAACTGGTAATTATGTCGCGCAGGAACATGGAGATCATGAAAAAGAAAAAATCGTTAGACAAAAAATCGATATTTACTTTAATAAATTAAACACTTCCATAAATGAAAAATTAAAAATAATTGATGATAAATTTATTGAATCCTTAGATGATCCACGCTGGCAACAATGGAAAATATCTCGATTAGATTCCTGGAAACAATTTAAACATAAACAAGTTAATCATTGGAAAGAGATTATTAGTGAGAAATTACATTCAATTTATCTATTTGATACAATTGTTGGTCAATATCAACGACGTCTTCGTGTTCAAATCAAAAATTTTTTTCAGGGTACTGATAGCTACAAAAATCAATCATTAAATGTGAATGAGCTTAAAACCTTATTTGAAAGCTTATTCGACAAAATCCTAAACGAAGCACGTGAAAAACATCGGCCTGTTCCAATCGAAAAAGTTACTACGGATGTTTATAAAAATAATACAGCTGGTAAGCGATGGGATTTAAAAAGAAATTATATGGATTTACAGATTTATGCAGAATTAAATTCAGAAGTCGGTAAGTTTGAATTTGTCAAACGTAAAATATGGAATTTAGTAGGTCGATCGACCGAACAAGAAAAAGAATCAGAGCTTTTAAGTGAATTATTAATTGAAATTAATGAACAACTGAAATCAGTTAAATGCTATTCCTATCATATTGTACAAGATGCAATAACAAGAACAAATAAGAAATTAAATGAATCGAAACTTCGCTCTGATAAACTTGAAGGAAAAGCACATAATCTCATTTATGATTTTTTAATCAAACGATTAACTGAAATACAAAACAAGTGGAATCAATCAAATAATATTGTTGTTCGTTTGGAGTCAGAAAAAAATCGTTTATATGAATTTTTTTTAAATGCATCAAAGGGTATTGCTGGTGCGCAATTATTAACAAGTGAAATCATAAATATATTAAAAGAACATTCAATAAATGCTTATAAAAAAGCTGTTATAAAACATGTCGTATTAATATTACAAAATGAGCGATTTGTTAAATGTGGAAAAGTTATTCAAGCTAATGCTGATTTACATTTAATTGAATTGATTAAAAAAGATCAAATTGATGAATTAATAAAAAGATTAGAAGCATCTGCTGAACATTATACTTTTATTTTAAATCGATTGATTCAAGAAAAATTAGTTGATACATTGAAATCACAATGGTTATTATTTGTAAAATTGTTAAAAAATAATATTTCATCATCAGCTGCACAAGCACAAGCAGGTGAAACTCATCGAACACAACTGTTCATTGACAAATTGCGTGAATTATTACCAACGTATTTCGTTGAACAAATGATTTCATTAGATGCAACTGTTTTTATTGCTTGTGATGATGAAAATAAAAATGTTTTTAATGAAATTCAGTTTAATATTATACAATGTATTGATGATTTTGACTGTCCAACTTTTACCGAAGAACAAATTAAAGATATGATTGAATCTATTCGTTCAGCTATGGTTGATCGTCAGCATAATAATAGTGCTAAAATGCGATGTGGTATATTATGTCCTACCTGTAAGGTACCTTGTCATTTGGACGCTGGACACATTATTTCAAGTGACAAACTGGAAGATGAAAAAAAACCCGAGACAACTAAAATGGTTTATCTCGCCTTAAGAGCATTACGAAAGCATAGGAGAGATCAGCATGATGCATGGCATCAACCAGGAGGTTTGGCCGGTAGATATTGGAAAATACATCCTACTCAAGTTAATGAAATAGTTGCACCATCATGTTCGATGTCAGTGCGTGATGGACACAGTTTTTGGCATAATAATCAATGGAATGAATATAAAAAGTTTAACAAAGTATTTCCTGAATGGTCTTTACCATCATGCGAAGACAATCATCGTTTAAAGTTACGTGAATATATTTTTTATCGATATCATAAAGATTTGGCACACTATTATGGTCGATTACCTTGTACTGAAGTTCCATTTGAATATAATCATAATTTAGACTCAATAGAAAAAGAATTATTAAGTATGGTTAAGGACATATGAAAATGATATTAAAATTGTGTTTTTAAACCAGAGAAAAATGTATTTTTAAAACCGAAAGTATAAAAATAAAAATTGATCTAATCAATATGCTGTTTTGTCAACTTTATGAATTCATTCTATATTTTCTGCAATCTGAAAATTAAGTTTGGCACTATTACAAACATAGAACTCTATAAATCATTCTTTCATCAACTTTCACATTTTTCTAAAGGAGGTGAGAGTGTGGGTGTTGTAGTCAGAGTCTTCTCTTCACCCATACCGACACCCCACCCACACCATCAAAATTGTGCAAATGACATAAGTTTTAATCAGACAGAGCTTAAATAATGGGTACAATATCGTGAGTCTCTCAACTAAATAAGCAGAAACTAATTGTAATAAGTATTTTATCTAGCTGGACAAGGTCTGTATTGATTGATCGCTTGTTTTAGTTGATCTTCATCAATAAATCATTAAATGTCTTATACAGATGCCTGAAAGAAAAAACAAAGGATCACATCAGTACTATGACTAGCATGAATTCTCAAAAAGAACACTTTTAATCTTGTTTGATGTAACTTTTTGAAAATTTGAAATTTTCTGTCGCGATATGATGAATCAGCACAGCTTTTCTAACCCTCGTAGTGCCGGCCTCTTTTAAGCACTATACTGACGGTGTATGCTTTCATAAAATTTTTTTTTTTACTTTTGGATCAGTCTCCTGATGAAATATGATGTTTTCATATTCGATCTGATAGAAAAATTATTAAAATGATGTTCTTTATTTAGAACAAGTAATACAAAAAATATGTTTAACAGAATGCTCATCACAAACGAACGCAGAACAATTACAACATTGAGTTGATGTTTTCTTGTCCATAGAACGTTCACGAATCGAACATCGTTTTCGTTTTGTTTGAGTAGAATTTTCATTTGGTTCTGATAGATTTTTCTTCGTCACAGGATAGCCGATAATAGTTAATGCATTTTGAATATCTGTGTTAAAAAATGTTGAGTTTTTGGAGTGAAAATCCAATAGATGCGATACTAAAGCTAGTCCTAATCCTTCCAGGAATAATCGGCGTTGATATTTTTTATTTTGATTCCATTGGGGATTTCTCGCCTTCCAGATGATCAGAGCGTTTATAGCAGCAATGTCTATCATCCAATAAAATATGCAAAGTGACCATCGCTTTGTACCTCTTTTTCTCCTTTCTTATTATATATTTGTTGTATGCTGAAGACATGGTCTTGTATCAAGAGGTTGTAATGATATGAAAAACAAATGTATTCCCTTTTAGATTCAACAACGTATATCTATTCGTAAGGGATGCTAGTTGCTTCTAAAAACTGGGAAACAGCAAAATATTCCTAGCATATTTTAAAATTGTTGAGGGTGGCGTCACAAATGGCCCCGGTCGGTACTACGACAGTTAAATCTATGTTAAAATACTGAATTCCAAATTCTTATTGATTATGTTAGAGTATAAGAGCAGTACACATCTATTTTCTGTAGAAAAAAAAACTGTTCAAAAATAATTCATTTGTATAATAATGTCAAAGATTTCTGATAGATTACTTTGTATGCGACTTCTTACTATTGAATAGATGCATATTGGTCCATCGTTCAAATGGTTGTTCGATAAGAATGAACCAAACGGTTGATAAAATGAGACAGATTGTTAACACTAGTGCTAGATAGAGGAGGGTTAAACCATCGATTGAAAAACGTTTAGGATCAAATAGATGACTATGAGACATTATCAATTCAAATGCAATTCGAAAATGTAGTACATATACTAGGTAACTTAATTTAGCAATTGGTGTCCAAATGGAAAGTGATAGAAATGATTTGATCCATGGGCTATGATAAGGATGCGTTGATGGGCAAATGGCTGAAAAGAGAATAAATGCTTGCGATATGGAAAATAATTGTCGAATAATGGAAATCATAATTGATAATACTACAGTATTGATGATATATGGTTCACTTGGCATCACCAAAAGAAGCGTAAATAGTAAAATTAATGTTAAATAAACGTATTTTTTAATCTTTCCATAATGAATAAAACTCTTATTTTTAACATCGATCAGATAAAATGCGAGAATTGATCCGATGACAAAGCTCGAATATCGACTTGATATAGATACATACATCGATTCCGTAAATGGTCTCATTAGACTTGGATCGACTGGTTTTTAAAATCGCATTGTAACATTATATTTAGTACTAGTCCAATTGAAAATTCGTTCTGACATGAATAATGCCATTGAATTATAATGATATACAAGCGTTGCAATGTTCATAGTCTTCGGATTAAATACTAGTAGTGAATAGACAATAGACAGAATAACAAGTATATACAATGATAAATAAATTCTTTGATAATTCGATTTGAAGCTGGTAATGACATAAAGAATGAGGGGTAGTAGTATATACATTTGCATATCAAGACTGATACTCCAGAGTGCAGAAGAGCCGATTGTCCATTGTTCTCTATTAACATAATTTTGATAAAATAGCCAAAAACTTCTCCAATTTCCTTTAGGTTCACCTAATATCAACATCACCATGGTAATCAATAAAATACCTGGCCAAAAACGACAGGCACGTCTAAGTATATGTATAGGATATTCTCTCCATGAGAAAAGATGTCGCTGTTGAATGAATTTTAATGTAAGAAGAAAACCAGATAACATGAAAAATGTTTCCAATGATAATGATAATAATGATGACAGTCTGAATGAATAACTATTCAAATAAGTCATCCATTGTTGGTGTGGATAAGATGGAATGAATAAATTCAAAAAACTGATGATATGAAAGGAAATAATCATTCAACATGAGATCGATCGCATTCCATCAATCGGAGCATATTTTGATTTTTGAAACAATGAGTAAACATCTTCTTTTAGTTGCCACATATTATTGTGTTTTTTTTCAAAATGTGTGCGTAATAGAGAACGTGTGATGTGACCTTGTCATACACAGATAAAATAACAATGACGAAGAGAAAAACAAGGAAAGAAAAAAAAAGAGGAAGAAAAAACCGGATGTGATTATTAGTGTAATAAACATGCAACAAAAGAGATCAAAAAATGCGTTATGAAATAGACGGTTAATAAAGAAAAAACGATTATACACATCAACAAAATGACTAGAACTTTCAATAAAATAACTATTAATTTTAATATGTTTCTTAATTATGAAACATCATAGATAGAAAAATCATCATAATCATGTAATCGTAATCACGAATCGTTCTGTTTATTCAATCGTAAACATCAAACAACTAAATATGTCAAACCGATGCAAAAGACGGATAAAGTAAGATCTAAAGAAACAAGAATTAATTATTCACTAAAATCGAATTGTTTTCAATGTAAATCTCAGATGTAGAAATATTGAGATTGAGCATAGGTTTTCAGTTTTCTATTGTTTGTATGTTTGATCACAGATATTGTATGTGGCTTTTGGATATTCAATTTGAAATTTGTCTTCATTCGAAAAAATATATTTCTTCAGATCGTCGCGAATGGGATCAATTGAAATTGCTTCCCTTGTGTTTCTTTCGTGATCGCATGTAACCATCTTTAGGTTTGTGACGTGTTCCTGAACCTGCTTAGTTATGCTAATATAAATAGGTAGAGTGAATAATATCTAGTAGACGATAGTTCCTTTCAGAATAATCGATCGTCAGTGAGACAATCTCTCTTATTTCTATTCAAATTTCGAACAGGAATTTTATCTTTAATTTTTTTTACTGGCGCTTTCTAATCATTGATTTAACCGAAAAAGCTAAATTAATCTGTTCATATCTTGACAACAACTCTTCATTATTGGTATTATTTGATTGACGTGCTTGTCGATTTTTTCATTTTTTTTCTCATACTTTAAGTATATATCACAAAATATAACTAATATAAATGATTTGATAAATGTATCATGAATAATTTCACTCAGACAAACAGATATGGCAACCATTTATTATGCCGCGCCTACCTGTAATAGGGAGGTATCTATAATGGGGGTGAAGGAACACTGGGCAATAGGCAGAGGGCAGAAGCAACAAAATTTTTTTTTCAGCAACCGGTTTTAGTAACAAGTAAATATGCGCTTTCATATGAGATATTATTCAACTTTTTTTGCAGATAATGTGACTGAGAAAATTAGAACTCAAGGAAAAAACTTTTGTCGCCTAGCTGTCCACTGTGGAGAGAGAGCCGGAAAACTTCGATTTAAAACTTACACTCACATTAGGCGAGTGAGAGTGGATGGGTGTCTATCCTTCTACATATAGAGATCGAAAACCCAATAACACGATCATGACACGAGAAAAAACAGCTTATAAGGACGAATCCTTTTAGGCTTCATCTAGTTTCATCAAGCCCTACAAACAGATATAGATCCAACTCGCAACGGCGCATCACATTTGAGGACCTTACCTGGTAAGTCATGGCAATCAACTCAAGATTGTTTTTTGATAATATCTTCGAATATTATTAAGTCAGTAAGAATTACCATCCAGATTTCAGATATGAGAATCCGAGAATTATTAGGAAAAATGCTTCGGAAGTTTTGTCATGCAAAGTTTTTTTCTAACTACTGTAATTAGCAACATACGAGGAGTCCATTGGATTAAATTTTCTTTCAGATAACTAATTGGTTTCATACACATAATATGGCCACGGCTACTGTGATTTCTCTGATGCCAACTTCGTTTGTTTATGAAGATTTAGTTTCTCAAGTTCAAAAAATTCAGAATCAAGTGTTTGAAATGGAAAATGTTCTTGATAACCAATGTAAAACAGAAAAGAAAATACAAAATAAATATATGAACCATGAACCGATTAATAAAGTACTTAAAAAATATAAGAAGGATTATATATCAAAGTATTTATAAGAATGGACTAAGATTGGTACGTGAATTAAAATCAACTGTATCGAACTATACAAATGATCATCAATTTGTTACATATGATGAAGTGATTGTATGAATCGGAAGTTATGAAGATGCATGGCCTCGAAAAATTGTCATACAAATTTTCCTGATGGATAACATGGAGAAAGTCAAGATGTAGATAAAGAAACAAAGGTAATTTAGGAATATAGAATTGAAATCATGTATTATAGATCAAAATGTAAAACCAAGCAGAAAGGACTGGATAGATGGCAGGCCACTAAAATCAAAAGATACTATTATGTCATCCCAGTCATATCAAAATAATTATGTCACTATGCAGTTAGAAGACGGTAGAACTCTTTCAGATTATAGTATACCAGAAGAAAGTACGTTACATCTCGTATTACGTTTACAAGGTGGAATGTATCATTGTACAAGTGGTTAACAAGATTTTCGCAACTTACCTACTAATTCTGCTGAAGCACAAAGGGTAACTCACAGCAACCATGTCGATTGTACATTTCTTGAATTCATTATAGTATGTGTCGAATTTTTATTTTTCGTTCGTTTAAATTATAGACATTACTAAAAAGATGAGATCCATCCGGGAACAAACAGAAAGCAGTTGAAGATTTTACCAGTAATGCAGATAAATTACACCAAAATTTAATGAAAAATTACTGTGAAGAACTACAGATCTCACACGATGACATGGTTTACACCTATCAAAGTGATACTTGAAGGTTTCCGTAAAATTGTTGATTATACCAAACTATGTTCTGAACAATTAGAAGAAATTTTTCATCCTCAAATTTATCATCTGACAAATATTTCTTCAATCTAAATTTACTATGAAAGTACAGAGTATCATCAACAATGATCTGAAAAGTATTCAAAAGTAAGTCGAACGATTTGGCTGACAATCTCAAATATTATTAAAAAAAAACATGAAGAAAACGCTGAGATCTTTCGAGAAATTTGAAAAGAAGATAAAACAATCGATCACGGATTATATGTTTATGATGGATTGATTTTATCAATGTTTTTTGTCTATTTACCACGCCTAGAAGATTTATCTTCACAGCTGTTAATAATTGGTACATGAAAGATTCATTCATCTATCGTCTCTTAAATAAAACACTCCGAACACATATTTCGAAGATTCCTCAATTAATGTCTATCGCGGACAGCTGATGTCGCGCAAAGAAATTGCAGAGCTTTAACGATGTGATACTTATATCATTAATAATAGTTTCTTTTCAACAACTCTCGATCGTTCTATAGCCACAATTTTCCTCTTATTCCACTAAACAGATCGTTAAGGATGAAGATAAACAGTATCGATCAAGTCCTTTTGCACACATTTCACAATCTATAATAAGTACGACTAAGAGACGAACTTTGAAAAATTATGTGAACTCATTCGTCTGTCAATCGATGATATACGTACCTGATAATTTAACAATTATTGATTTCATTCAAAAACTAATTGAATTGGCGAAAAGGTTGCTGAAATATAATAGAACATCAAAGGACTTTCATGAAAGAGTTCTGCATCCTAATCAAGACGTATACATTTTTCTGTTTTAAATATCATTTAGCTATTCATAGGAATAAGGATAAAGACTTATTCTAAGTGACAGTGCATATAGATAGCCTAGATCGAATTGAATATGACGATAACTAAAATGATTCACTTCCATATTCAGTATAAGATGCATTAGTTTATTTACGCAAGTATGTATGATTCATCTTTGCCACGTTGTATTTCTGTCAGTAGTATTGTGTAATTACACTTACCTTATATTTTAAATCATGACGACGTTGCTCTTGCTTTCACAATTATTTTCTTAAAGACTTTAAAATACTATCATGTCTACACCGAAAAATTCTTCAAATTCTGACACTGATGTATGCTCGATTTGTTTGGGTGCATTAGTACAACCAGGCATGGATCTATTTAAAACTGCATGTCAACATCAATTTCATTTTGTTTGTTTGGCAAAAAGTGTTGAAGCACAAAATCATGAATGTCCACTCTGTCGAACTCGACTGGATTCTTTGAGCCAAATTATCCAGACACCAGTGCAAAGTACATCTGCACCTGTTCAAGTTCCTATACAAGCTGCTGCTACGCCATCGTCTACAGCTTCTGGATTTTGGTCTACATTGAGAAGATCGCTTAGTAATGCATATAGTTGGGTGAGTAAGAATTCTTCTCAGTCACAAGCATCATCCACACATGTAAACCAATTTGAACAGCTATCATACTCGAACTCATCGGAAGATTTGGTTGATGAAGCAGCTGTTCGTGCTCTATCAGCTCGAATCCAAGCTGCTCGTCAACGAGCAGCTAATGGTACAACTGAACTTGCATTGATTACAACTACAACTACGTTAGAATTTGGTGGTCAAGTATCAACAGAAGCCTCCAATATCTATGGAATGGTGACACTCAAAGCACCTTCTCTTCTTCCGATTACGGCTAGCGAAAAGGAACTCAATGAATTACGTGTTCCAATCGATCTCGTATGTGTTGTTGATCAAAGTGGATCAATGCAAGGAGAGAAAATTGCATTACTGAAAAAGACTTTGGATTATATTATCGATCAAATGAGTTCACTCGATCGATTAGCGATTGTTTCTTTTGATACTAAAGCATACGATCGATCTAACGGTCTTAATATGATGTCACACGCAAAGTGAGTATTCTATTGCTTCAGATTTTGATGACTATTTTCTTCTTTTAGACAACAAACTCTTCATACTGCAGTTGCACAGAATATTCATGCCGATGGTGGCACTTATATTGGTTCTGGTCTCGAAATGGGTATTCGAATGTTAATCAATCGTCGAACGAAAAATCCAGTCGGAGCCATGCTTCTTCTCACTGATGGTCAAGATAATCAACATCATGATTATTCTCAACTAATGCGAACTCTACCTGATGGTGTCGTTTGTCACACATTCGGCTATGGACTAGGACATAGGGCAGCATTGCTATCTCAATTGGCAGAGCAAGGACATGGAGGAACTTTTACCTTTATTGATCAAGTCGATTCAATCGCTCTTGCTTTTGCTACTGCTCTTGGTACTCTCTTTACATGTGTTGCACAGAACTTGAATGTGAAACTCGAGTTCGATGGTTCATATGCAGTCACACACTCGCATTCTATCTATAGACATGAACCTGTCCAATTACCATCTTCACAAGTCACATTCAAACTTAATGATCTTAATAGTGAGGAAAGTCGTAATCTTGTCTTTCAATTAAATGTACCTGTACTTGTCGAACAACCGAATAATAATGATATCATTGGTAAGTAGAATCCTTATTTCTTTCGAATACAGTACGATTCTTCTGTTGACAGGTCGTGTATCAATCGAATATACTGACGCAATTAATGGCCGTCAAATTCACACACCAACGATACCATTTCTACTTGCACGTCCTGCTCAACTGACTCCTGACTCACCATTGCTTGTTGTAAACTATGCACTAGATTTACAACGTAATCGTGCAGAAACAAGTCGTGTTTTGAAAGAAGCAGTCAATGAATCAAACTACGAACGTGCTCGAGAATTATTAAATGCACAATCGGCAAAAATTCGAGCGTCGGTATCAGCTCAAGATCCACTATGTCAACAATTAATACGCGATTTGGAATATCAGTATACAAGTCAATATGAATTTGGAACAACCATGACTAATATGTATATGCAGCACGGACAAGAACGATTCGCTTATTCAACAGCTACAACATTTAGTTCAAATTGTTATATGACATCGGGTCAAGAACGTTTTCGATCGCTTGCACGTAAATATAATTAACACATCGTAATTATTGTTCTGTACTATTTATTCAAATAAAAACGTACAAAAAAAAACAACAAAAATCCATTTTTAGAAAGAATAACGCAGGGAAAAACTATCACGACGTGCCAATATTTGATTTCGAGTTGTGACCTGGTCATTATTGATTATGACGGCTATAAGAGTGCGGGTATAGGTGTGGGGGTGTGAGAGTAAAAAACCATCACACTCGCACCCACATCCTGACAATTTGCTCCCCCCTAGTCCATTAATTTAGTATGTGCGATGATAGAGTAAATCAATTGTTTACATAATTCTACTTCTACTCAGTTGAAATCTGATGAGAACAATGAGAAAATTTATATCGATAATATCAAAAGAATCATTTCGAAACGTTTAATCAGCATAAGACTCAAGGTAAATTGTGCTAATAAGAAGAACACAGCTAGATTAGGTATGAAGTTAATTAAGTACTATCTCTCATAAATCATGAGACAAGGATTTACCCTTGTCTCTGACTTATGAAAAGATAGAGGGCAAACATGTGCCATTCTCAATTACTCTCTTCTTGTAATCGGTTATCGTTTTCTTTTCTTCTGTTCTATCAATATGATTGCTTTGGTCTACTCTTTGTAGTCTTCTATAAATTATTGTGTTCCATGCTACTTCTTCAGTCTCATGATTCAATAAATATAACAACCACAGTTATCATAACGAAAAGATTCCACTCTTCTCATTTATTATAGGATTATTTAAGCTAGACTTAGTAAAAGGAGTCGTTTAGCGTGGTATACGCGACGTGGATTTAAGTCAAAAGTATAAGACAGGAGCTAAATTTGGCTGATTGGGTGTGAACAGTTGCACAACAACGCCAGACGTATTTGAAACATCGGAGGTTTTAAGTAAAAATGGAATAAGAACACTCTTCTCGATTGAACGTATCAACGGCAAGTCGATTAAGAAACATTTGTATTTTAATGATACGGAAAAATAAATTATTCTGATGCCTGGCATCATATTCGAGAGTATCTGGCAAGAGGATGCAAGATCAGGTCTTCATAATATTCATTTGAAAGAAATTCAACCACCATTTCAATTGATTAAGCCACCTTTTTACCAAGCATAATATCGTCAACTAGCTGTTGGTAACTATTGAGAATGATTGAATATATTTCGATAGCTCTATCGAAAACTAGACCAAGCTAGAAAGCTTTTGAGCACATATTTCGCCAAGTCATAGGAGACTGATAGAGTAGTACATTCTTCCAAGGGTTTATACTGACGTGAAGATTTGATCGAGATTTTGAATTCTTAGTGAGACTAACATACATAATTTGGAAAGCGCATACCTCAGAGATACTCGATCGAACAGTCTAAAATTTTGTGCGTAAGTCATTCTTACTGTCACCTTCATGTGGGCAAAGTTTTCAGGCCAAAACTCAGCAATCAGTTCTGATGAAAAAATCGAATCTATACAGGAAAAATCTATTAGAAAGTTACTATCTCGATAGAGTTTTAGAGCCAACTCCAGCTAATAAAATCTCAACCATTAGAATAGTTCAGCGAAAGAGTTTACTGGATTATGGCGAGCAGTTCAGACTTGAGATTGAAATGTAGACGTCTCTTGACAACTCTTATCATCGATCTTTGTCATAAGTGCAGAATCGACATGTTCTTCTATAGCTTTAATAACCCAATTTATGACTTTAGTTCCACTACAAATAACATCATAGCCTGTGTCGTCATTAAGTTATAGTAAAGTGAAAGAGATACCAAGATTATGTATAAAGATTAAACCAGATAATAAAGTAATGGCTGCTAATAATGAATGTTTACTCTATTTCCTTATGGCAGGTTAAGTCTTATCTATAAAATAGTCAATGACTAAAAGTATCTTGTTCTAAAAACAGTCGAACCTAATGAACTTCATTTTTATGATTTGTAATGTGTATTAAAGTTGCCATCTGGAACTAACTATTTCTTTCAAATCAAAAAAACTTGTTTATCTTTTCCTTCATTCTTTTTCCAAGCTTTTTTAGATTAAAAATATAAATAATGTTTCAATAGATTCCAACTAGAAATCATGTTTGTTCTAATGATAGAAGGATTAAAATTTAGACTTTTTCGCCGATGAAAGATGAATTATGAATAAACTGTCACTATCTGAATTTCGATCCTGTTTAAAGATCTTCATCAGATGAGTTTAAATAATCTACAAGAAAATTGACAATTCTTTAAAATGGCCAGATTCGCACAGAAAATTCTCTATTGAGTCAATGCTGTAGAATGAGTAAATCATCATGGTAGAAATTATTAGTGTTGAAGAAACAATTCGTGTCATAAATATGTGGGTTTTAGAGATGTTCATTTTGAACAAGTTCTGCTTATTTGTTATGATACGACTGTTTCTATATTCACTTATAGCTGGCTCTTATGTTTTCTCTACTGCGGATTTCTGAGAAGTCTTTCGAAAGTAGTGTCATCATTGTAGTGGGTGTTATCTTGAAGATGACAGGTGGAGATGAAAGTTTTTTCTTCGCTCGCACCCTCACTCACTCTTTCAAGTGCTACAATGTCCCATGTGGTTAGAGCTTTGCTTGACCAGTAGAATGGATACATTGTGTCTCACATTTTAATCCTGCAGAGATTTTAATAAAAGCTTTTTCTGTTAGTTTTATTCTTCAAGCTTTTCTCTCGATTACGAATGATGGGCATGTATGGTGATCTGTTCTCCAAAATGTTATGCAGTCGCGCCTATGATTGAGTCAACTTGATGGTACTGCTAATCATCGTTAGCAATTCATTTAATGTACTTCTGTCTAGTTGATTGTCAACGTTTTGAAAACGAATATATTTCAGACCAGCAATACGAATATCTAGAACAACCATTCCAAGAATGTAAAAGTGACATGCGATCAAGAAAAAACTTACCAAACCAATCACATTCGCCAGGTTTTTCGATGAACACTACAATAACAGGCTTATGAAGACGATCCATTGCGTAGGTGATCTCTCTTCGACATGATTTACTGCTGTAATAGGCAACAGAGACCAGACAGACAATCAAATTGGATAGCTTGATACCTCGAGCAATTTTTTCCCACAAATCTTCATTGGTACCACAATGATCACGATCGATCCAAATGTTGAATTCATTACTTTTCTTCGTCAGTTCGATCAGTATCTTATCACAAAATGCATTATTGGCATGAGAATAACTGATCATAATCATCGGCTTGATTTTTTGTCCACTCGGAGAAGACAACGAAGTGTTCAGTACAAAGTCTGAAATGGCTGATATCCCCCCGAGATTGTAAAGAATTCCTTCAGCAGCTTGTCTAATACTTTCCATCGACAATGGAACATATTGATTGACGATATTTTGTCCATTATTTTCAGCTAGAGTATGCACTGTTTGCAACAAGTGTTTGTTTTCTATCAATTGTGCTTTATAACGATCAAGAAACGAAATGCTCCAGAGGATATTTAACAGTGCTGTGCAAGTGAACTGCTTCAATTGATCTTCGCTTTTCAGTGCATCCTGAAACTCGACGAGTAAATCAACGAATAGGGTGATGGTTGATGCTTCGGTCAATGGTGGATCAGTTTCTGCATGACTGAGAACATATTCAAGTGTATGATCATCCACAACCAGTTTGGCCAATACCGCTAACGGTTCCGAAACGTGAAAACCATAATAACGATATCGATCGGCCTAGAAAATAAAGCGTCTTGTATATATGAAACATTGTCTATCTTTCTGTCGGAAACGAATTTTTTATCCGGTATAGAAGACACAAACAGCTTACTCACTTTGGCAGCTCCAAGAGTCAGCTGTAAGAGCTGATTGAGTATTGTGTTTATTCGCTTCTTGTGCGATCGAATCTCATCGGGTGTGGAAAGAAGAGCTACGATCATCGACAAAAGAAGAGTGAGTTCATTGTTAGCTTTGATCTTTTCAGTATTTTGAAAATTCTGAATAATCTTTAGAGCGTTCAATTGTCTGAATTTTTCGGCACCAACATCATGTCGACAAAGATTATAAATAATACTGAAAATCTTGAAGAATGTATTTTGTGACAGTTCTGAGATCATCAACCATTCAAGAGTTTTCTCAGTCAGATCGGTTTTGAGTAGCAAGGGCACCAGAATTATTCGATCAGAGAAGTTCCAGAAGAAATCTAGAATTTGATCACTCTGTTCACTCAATGAATTGTTTTGAGATAAATTTACTGAGAGTGGTCGTAGTTCTATATGTATACTATTCGATAGACTAGTAAACAGATTACCGTAATCGTGAGCAGTAAGATCTTCGCTTACAAATGAAATGAATCGTAACGATGCTGTCGTCAATATCAACAGTAATATAATCATTCTTTCATAGCCAAATTTTTGGAACGGTTTCATCTGTTTATTATCAGTCAGAAACAGAAGAATTTGAGGGTGGTGGAGAAGATCGAGTCCATTAAAGAATATCTCTCTGGTCATACTCTCTTCACTTTGCATCAATAAAGTGAACTCGTTGCTTTCAACCAGAATAGACAGGATCTGAATACATTTTGTTAGACAGTCGGCATCGGCACTGGTTACTCGCTCAATGCTATCCAGCAATTGTTTCCATAATTGTAAGCAGTGTCTGACACATTCTCGATAATTATCATCGCCATTATGTATTTGTTCGAATCTATTGAGAAGTTGTTTGAATGTTCCAACAGGTACATCTGTCGATTCAGCTCTTTTAGTGTCCGTCTGTCTCAATAGACTCGGAGATTTTCCCAGCTTGTGTTGAGCATTCATAATATCTTTATTATCTTCGCTAGTATAGGAGGAAATTCTAGTGTCGTTTTTGTTATTGCTCATTTCAACCAGTCGAAATCCGTCGATATGAAGCAGCTCAAATTGTCAATGTCACGCAATAAGTGGAATAAATATGCACAACATACATAGCAGAATCATCTAAAATCTATATGGAACCCGATGATACCTAACATTTATTGACTCGAGAATTTTTAGTTCCTATTATTATGCAGGAGAAATGCCCTTTGTAGGAATGAGTTTTAAAAAAATCGACCGTGAAAGACAAGTTATTTCTGAACATCCTACCCCTTAATTTTTTCGCAAAATCAAGCACTGGAATTGGTTTTTTACTGTTATTTTTAAATACTAAGAGAATGTGCGGTGTAGACCAGAAGGAAGTGACTATGTGCACTCAGGAAGATAGAATCATTTTATTGAAAAATTTTAAGTTATACTAAGTTTTATATGCTCATTATTATTAATGCAAATCAGATATTTTAAATTATTATGAATTTTACGTGTGAAATTATTTCTTACGGAAAAAAAAGAACGCGTCAAACGCTACAGTGAAAACGAATATCAAAGAAAAAAACAATCAATTACAATAAAGATTAATTAATTTAGCAACATTACTAGGTATTTCTCTCTCACTCTTGAAAAACAATGGTTGCTGCTCTCTTATTGTCAGAATATTTAATAAAAGTTACATTGCATCAATTTTTTTCTTTCTCTTAAATGTACCTTCCTTCTGTTTGTTGATCATGAAAGGAAAGGTTTTTTTTCGTGATTAATTCGCTTACGAAATGGAATATTGAAATGTAGAAGAATTCGACGTCGAAAGATGTACTCTATAAAGATACGCTGATTTATAATCAATTCAAAGTTTCTTGTAACACATTTTATTGACACTTTTATAAACCTAAAATAGATCCGGACAGATACTATTTCAAAATTAGTTGAATTTTATTCGAATTGTGTATTTTTTTCTGTATTAGTTTGGTTATAACACTCGTAATAATTTAAAATATCTGATTTAAAATGATGAGCTTGATCTAAGAAATGCTTCTTTTCGCCTGGAACACAAGAGTGAGGATGAGGGCGATAGATTTTTCTTTTCCCCTTACTAACTCTCTTTATACATTGAAACACCTGCCACTTTTTCAACAGCATTAGCCCAATAATTCTTGAAAAACCTTCCTTTTTATGAGTGTTTGGCGTAATGTGAGCCAACAATCGATTACTTATATGACTTTGTCACATAAGACGGTATCATTTCTTTCGTGCAATAGATTGGTAAAGTTGAAGAAATCCTACCTTCCCGAGCTAAGCAAGCATGCTTGCAAACGAAGAGATGATATTTTATACGGGTTGTATGACAATCTTGTTTCTTCGTGATGGTATGTGCAGAAATTTGATCGTTCACAATCAATAAACCCCCAGGACGAAAAAAAAGTGTCTCGATATGATCTTATATTGACCTTCTATGTATCTCTGTGTAGCGATCGGATTTCTTCGTCATAGTATGTAGAGAAATACGATCTCATTGTACGAAGAGTATATGATCACATTTCTTCCTGCGTGATAACGGATAATCTTGCAAGAAATGCTAAAAGACTCACTCGTTAGATTCGACGTTTTAGGTGAAATTCTCCGAGTTAAGAAGTCAAACCAAGCTGAGAGCGAGAGTTTGAGTGAGAATGGATGATTGGATGAGAGTGAATATAGGTTCACCACCCTCAGCAATGGTTGATAATATTTTTTAGTCCTCAACATAGAATAATAAACTAATAGTTTGATTGATGATATCAATTAGTATTTTTTCTCCTGGCTCTTTTTTGCCCGAGACGGCAAAAAAAGATTAAGAGAAGCACAGAGAGCGAATGATTCTCTACATTTCATTCTCTATGCCATCCGCAACACTAGCTTATACAGGAGAAAAAGAAAGAAAATAGACGAAAAAAAAGAAGCGAGAATAAGAACGAAAGAATGAGAAGAATCGGTAAGCGATGTTATCGTAAATGAGTATATGATTGTCGACACAGCGAGATCTTTTGACATTTCTTTAACTCTTCGATTATCGGATTTTTTCTTCGTCATCACTAGAAATAATTCATTTCGTATAATTCGATGAGCTATGGATAGTATAATGACAGTAGTAAAATGAGAATAGCAAAAGAGAAAAAGTAAATAGTTAGTCCTTTTTTATTTCACTACAGAAAGATGCTTATTCAGCGATGTAGTTCAACAACTTCTGTTTGCTTTAAATTATTGATACCCTTTCTCGGTTTTTACTGTCCTTATCTTTCTCGTTCCTGTTCATAACCATCTTCTACCATCTCTTCTTCCCTCCACCTCACTTGCGTACACTATGGATGTGGGTGTCGCGGTTGATAGGAGATGTGAACAGATCTACACCCAGTGAGGGTGTTTCTTGTTGCTTCATCCTTAAATATGCGTTATGATTTGTGTAGAGAGCCTTATGTCTCTAGTCCAATTGATCGAATCGAACAAATGTCCATCATTCTGCAGAAAAAGATAGGGTATCATCAGTCAGGTTTATATTCGATGAAATCACTCTGATGTGTCTTTCGATCAACAATTTGATTTACCATATTGTTTGAGGTTCCGTTACATCAAAGGTATGATCTGATTGACAATGTTAATGATCGATGGCAGTTCATACTAATTCGTTGATTTAATAGTAAGCCGAGTGAAAAACTGTCAGATAGCGCGTAGAGACAATGAATACATTTTGATCAATTTTGAATATCATAGAAAAAAATTGACATTTTTTAAAAATTTTATTGAATAATGATGAAAAAAGAAGGACACTACAGAAAATTGAATGTCTATGCTTTTGTGAATTTTCCTCCTTGTAAACGAATTAGTTGAGTTTGTGTTTGTGTTTGAGTGGCTTCAAAACCCAATATTTGCGTTACAACACCAATACGACGATTACGAATAATATGTATTACATTGAAAAATTCTTGACGAAACAGTCGACTTGATAAACAATGAATGTAAAATGAAGCCTAAAATAAAGTATAATATGATGAAAACAATTCGGAAACTAATAAATATTATAAAACTTACTGAATAATTGATCGAAGCAATGAAAATGGAAATAGTATTCAAGTCAAGTTGTTGTTCTAGTGAAAGTCTCGGTCGAAGAACATAAATCATAAGAATATGGAACAGACTTAATGGAATTTGTGTGACAAAAAAGAGAAAGATACTAGTGAGCATAATTATTAACATTTGTCGATCGAGAAAAGTACGACGATGACCTTGTTTCAATTGTTGCTTTTGTTGTTGTTGACGACGAATTCTAATAAATATGTTAATAGTGAGTATGAGAAGAAATATTGTGGGCAAGACTATTTGAAGACTAGTTATTAGAATAGGCCAGATCTGAAAAGAATTGATAAATGTTTTGTAAATTGGCAAGATTTAAAATAAAGAAACATACGTTCGAGTAAAAGTATTCGTATGTAGCGCTTGACGAGGAACCAGGACTACATGCAATAGTGCCAGGTACAGCAGCCATTGATGGCAGCAGTAAATGTGAATTGAGTGCAATCGAACAGATGAAGATAATGAATGCACCGATAAGTACTCTTTTTCTCGTGCACAATTCTTTGACTCAAAAAGGAAATCGAATGCGAAGCCATCGATCGATTGCAATGGTTAATAAGAGCCAAGCTGAGCAACACATGGAAAAATATTGAAAAAATGAATAAAAACGACACAATAGATTCATAAGATCGGTATTTGTTGTGGGAACACCAAGGCCAAGAAAGACAAAACTGTAGAAACACGTTAACAAATAGATTGTATCTGATGCAGTCATGCATACGAATAGACAACTTGTCGAAACATTACGAAGGGTTTGACGAAGAAATATAATGGCACTTGTAGCATGACCGAAAAAGCCAAAGAGGAAAATAGTAATGTATCCGTAGAGAGCCAAATTTTTCTGGATAGATGTAACCAGGACTAAACCAAAGCCCGGCAGAGGACCCATTCCACCACCAGGAGGACCCATTCCCCCTCCAGGACGACCCATTCCGCCACCAGGAGGAAAACTGTTGTTGTTACTAGTGTAATTCATCTATGAATATAGATATGAGAATAACAGAAAGAATTTCATATAGATATATATAGAATGACTATTCCCTGTCGAAGATCGGTTGTAGGCAGATAATTCTACAGCTGATCTTTAGTTTCTGGGATCGATCAGACATATTTGTGTCAATACGTAGGGTATGGGGTGGACGATTTTTAGAAACAAATATACATCGCACCACGTATCTGTTTTTTAATTATGATATAAAGGCGTAATAAATTGTTGTAAACATTAATAAAATTGAAAACTAATTTTAATGTCTAAATGCTATAATCGATAGTGTACGATGCATAATTACTCTCAATGAATTTTCAACTGAACTTACTGATGCAGCAGCAAAAAAGAATCTCGAGAAAAGATAATCATTTTTTTATTCACGAACTTTAATACGACTTGATTTTGTGAAGTCTCATCTAAATCAATCACTTCATTCGGTTTGTAAAGTTTACTTCCTATTATAATTTTTTTCTATTTTTTCGCACTCACCAACCTCAACTAAATTTATATAAATAAAAAGAAATTCTTTTAGCTTTTTTTAAATTACATTACTCATTCAAATCTCAACTGCAATTCTTATGAGGGGTGTGACATATACTTATTAAAAAAATTAATTACTTACTGGCTAATGACAATCAAAAGCAGATGAGCTACGCAATTTCTTTTTTCTTTTCATGCTCGCTTCTCATTCTACTCCGTCAGCCACTCAAGCAGATTTACTTGAAGGCTCTTGAAACAAGTATAATTTGACAGAAATGATACACTCTGATCGAAAAGAAAAATATATCGTTCGATTGATCTTGTCAAAGCGCATTGACTCATGCTTTTTCAAAATATCGTTGTTTGCATGTTTTGGATAACTAAAAGAGTAAAATTCCTGACAGAATTATATTCTGTTGCTAATTATGTCGTTCAGTAAGATAAATACATATGCATTCAGAAAAAGGTATGGAAATAAAGCTCCTGTGATGAACTACATAATTATACCAAGGTTCTAACAAACGGACTTTGTTTTGAATTCCTTATATTTCTAATCCCTCTTGCAGCTCTTTCCGTAACACATAGTCACTAATATTGTATGTTCCACCTCTCTTGTTATTCATTGTTAGTTATTACTAGCTTCTCATTGCTTTCCTACTCATTGATGATGCTGGACTTGCATAGAAGGTAGTTTCTATACATGATTAAAAGCCATTTGTTCTAAATGTCGATACGGCTTTTATTTCCAAGACTCTAACCTACTTGCTATGTTTGTTCTTTCTAATGAAGTATTCAACGTACTAGAAGATAGGCAAGAAAACATGCACGAAAAACAATTGTCAAATACGTTTAAACTCATCAAAAGTTCACTGTAGCCATTCGGTAATGAAAAACTCAAATTTGAATTTCTGCATTTTTGTTTTACTGATCGTGTCATACTAGTAACATGAAGCAGACTAAACATCTAGAAGACGCTCTCCGTCAAAAGAAACTTTTATCTTTTTTTTTTAATCTAAAAATTCGATGGTTTTCAAAAAGTTTGTGAACGTCATAAGAAAATGGATTGAATCTAAGAAATACCAAATAATTACACTTAAAGAATTGTGATGTTACGTAGTGATTTACTTGTCTCGGGAAACGTTTGAGCACGGATGGAGTTTCACGTTCGTAATGCTACTATAAATGATACTTTTGATCAATCATCTTTCCTGCAATATTACTCAACATCCTTCGTTCTTCCTCTCTCCGCTCACTTTTCCTGAATTCCCTACTAGATGATGCTATTTCAGTATAGATCCAAGTTTGATATAAAAGAAGAGATTTAGGTATATACAAAAATCATTTTTTGATAATCAAGGATAACGTAACTATCAATTTTCGGACCTTTTCTGTATAATTTCACTGACCAAACATACCATGTTAGTGACTATGTATTACCAAAATAGCTGCAATAGTCACTAAGCATCGAAAGAACTCGAGACAAAGTTCGTTTATTATAATCTTGATATGATAATGTAGTTCATGACCAGTGCCTTATTTTAATATAAGAATTATAGTGAGTAAAGTTTTCACTTAGAATATTACTTTTTACTGAACACCTATGCATTTCTCTCAATGAATGGTAGAATTAGGAGTAAAATATAATTTTGTCGCATATTTTCTTGTTTTAATTATCCAAAAGATGCGAACAGATCATGTCTTTTCTGTCAAATCACCTTCTTTTAAAAATCCTCAAGTAAGTATATTTGAATGTCAGAAGCAGATAGAAAAATGTATGAAAAATAATGACAAAATAAGCCTTAAAAAACAGACAAATATGAGTAGTTCATCTGCTCTTGATTTTCATTAGCAAACAAATATTTAATTTTTTCAATGAATAAATAGATGAATTCATGCAGATATGTCGTCTTCATTCCAGAAACTTTGGATTCAATCTTGAACGATATCAAAGGGCTAAGTTTTGAATCGAATACTAACACCGATACTTTTTCTGGCAGAATTAATATGGTGACTCTATTTCAAAGAAAGACTAACTTAATACACGAAACTGATTCGTGTGATTCTGTTGCTGCGATTGAATTGAAGACAGTGAAAAGTGAATAAATAATGTGTGTGATGCGATTTTTTCCCGTTATAATCTGATTATTCTGAAAATATCTCCTGTTTTTAGCAGAAAGCTTGTCAGTTTTCAAGAAAAGTTCTAATGCTTGTGTTGATGTTTTTCCTCTTTGATTTCGACATGACAATTTTGTTCTCAATTTTGCATGGAAAAAGATTCTTTTTTCGTAGACAACGACTCGAATTAATGGATTTTATCTTTCACGTTGACTGATAATCGAGAGGAATGGTTTGAAGTTTATTGTCACGTACAATTTGTGAGGAAAATGAATCAAATGTTTATATCCATCGAATGTTTCATCAATGTTCATTTTATTGATCAACATCATCATTGAATCTTTGAAAAAAACTACATTACATGATGGAACCGGTGCACAAACAGAATCATTGTTTTCTAGTCTGAGACAGAAAAAAAATTGTTATGAATATTGTCACATATCGTCTGTTAAATCTCAAGTTGAGAACAACCCTTCATTCGATATCAGCGAACAAAGAACTTTTCATCATCATTTCATGTAATACAAGCCAAGATATAAAAGATATTTCATAATTCAGAAGGGTACTCTCTGCCATTTCTTGTCTGAAGAGTATTTACAAGCGAGGATTTCCATGTGTTAAAGGATGAATCTTTTTCAATTGTTTGACAGATATTAACCAATCAGTTTGGCAATAGATCGGTAAACATCTTCTCGTCATTCGTCAAACATCGATTTGACATGTAACGAAGTTTTTCCATAGCAAAACCACAAATATCGGTGATCAAAACAAGTTAAGAAAGATCAATCTCGACTCAACGAGTAAATCTTAATTTTATTTCATCGACTTAAAACGATAAAATTAACGCAGGTCATATCGAAATAGATCGAAAAAAACATATAATTTAAATCATGTTTCTCACATACTGAATGTCGAGTGTGGGTGTGAATAGGAGTAGTATTTTAAGTTTAACTTTAGAGTAAGATTAAAGTTCTACTCCTAATCAAGATCGTTCGTGACAATTTTTCCACTAATCAACAGTCCAATATCATATTGAATCTAGAGCAAAAAAAACCCCATTTTAAATCTAGTTTACCAAGGTAAATAAGTTTTGAAAAACACACACTATTGCCGTGGAGATACCTTTGTTAGTATGGATTGTAGAGTTTATGACGGAAATGAATTATTAAGCAATTCGGATTACTAAGTATTTCGGGTATTGCCAGGAATTACCAATTATTGGATCATCACACCATCATCCTCATCCTCAAGATGATCAAATATATATATAAATAGATTCTCTTTTTATTGTAATTTAAGCCAGAGAAACTCAAAAACAATAATCACAATCTACATCGAATGGAATAAATTTAGTAGAAAGAAGAAAAAAAAGAAGAAAGTAAAAAAATATCGAAAGTGCTATTTATTTGACTTCAGGACATGCATTCTTTCATTAGCATCGCGTGAATAATCTGCAGCAGCATCTATATCCTACACTTATATATGAATAGTTTGTGCTAAAGCTGCGTTAATAGCACGTTTGATATGTTAACGCTATGATTATTCATTGGAAATGATGCCGTGGACTTGACGGTGTGGTTTTAATTGAGAAATAAATGTGACAGAATTATTTGGAATTATGATAGTTCTCATAAAATGTTTTTTTTGTACAAATATCATTAATCTTTATTGTTATTAATCTTTTTCTCATAAATGTATCACATTAACTGTTAAGCCGCATTATGAAGAGAAAAAAAACTATTTATGTTACCGTGATAATAAATAGTTAAAGCAGCAAACTGCTTGCAAACAGTTCTATTCCAACTCGTTGATTTGTGTAAGAATGTTACATCATATGTAGATCTGCTGATTTTATCGGTGGGCATGTTGGTAGGCTTTGAAAACAACTCAGATTTTGTTGATTCATAGGATTTACTTAGATTAAAAATGATAGAATTTTCTGCTCGGTTATTTTTCCAAAACCCTCCGTCTTTCGTAGAAGGTGTGAGAATGAGTCAGTCGTCTCTCTTCACTCATCTGTACCCACGCTAGTATCATGTGTAATAAAATATTAGGAACTACTCTAGATCAAATGATATATTGTATGAACCCCATGCAACCATAAAATGCATTTTTGACGCGTTCAAACGCGTTTCGTGGCTAAAACGCATCACAACGGGTTCACATTAGTTTTTAAACGCGTTTCAACGCGAACAGTTTCAATGCGATTGCTTTTATTTTTGCATCTGAATGCGCTTACCCTATATGCAACTAATGCTCTTAGGTTTCAATAATGCATGTAAATGTAGTTTCTTTTTCCGTTTTGCATACATAAAATGCATTTGAACGTGTTTCTGATTGCAAGTGCATATAGTGCTATCAATAAGGCAGATTACTTTGTCACAGTATACGTGACTAGATCTCGAACAGTAAACTGAACTACGTGTTTTTCATTCAAAAAAGCATAAGAACTATATAGTTAATTATATAGACAACGTATTCAAGTCTTACTGCGTTTCGAATTCTTAGAGAGAATTCTTCTTGATAATTTGCAATTTAAAATATTAGTGACTAGCGCTGCATGAAGCAGAATATAAACACAAATAGTTGCATAGGGGAAATCTCATCATATTTGTGTTCATCATATAAAGTCATGAAGACTTAGTTAATCTGTGAAATAGAAATAAATGAGTACACGTATCAAATTTTGAAATGTATAGAATATTCATTCGAAGACGGTATTACAACAATATTATTTTATTACATGTCACTACCAGCACTTTTTCAACGAAATCAATTTCGCTCTTGTATAGCATTCACTTTAAACGTAGTATTGGGTTGGCCAGAAAGTTTTTGCGTTTTTTTTAATTTTCCTAGAACAGTCAATGAAGTTCTAGAAGTTTCCATACTGAGGGTATATAAAGTGGGTGTGAATTTCTTTCGAACAATAACAAAATCATAAATATGGATGTTGATCTCGAATTAGAATTGAAGATATTTCGTAGAGACCTGCGGGTGCTTTTGCTTCATGAATTTCGTTTGGGTCACAAAGCAACGGAAGCAACCAGCAACATACGCAGCACGATGGGCAAGGATGTACTCTCCATTCGTGCAGCGCAACATTGGTTCAATCGGTTCAAGAACGGTAATTTGGAATTCGACGATTTACCTCCTTCCGGAAGACCACTAGAGGTGGATTTGGATGTTTTGAAGCAGCTCATCGAAGAAGATCCTAGACTGACTACATGGTGTTTAGCAGAGCGACTTGGGTGCGTTCATGCTACAGTGGAAACACACCTGAAAGAATTAGGCAAAACGTGGAAATATGGTGTTTGGATACTATATGAGTTGTCACCGCGTCAGCTCCAACTCAGCGTTGATGCTTGTATGAAATTAATGACGTCTCATCGGAATTACCAATGGCTCCACAATCTTATTACTGGTGATGAAAAGTGGGTGTTGTGTGTTAAACATACGCGCAAGCGGCAGTGACTGCGGGCTGGACAAACAGGTGTACCAACGCCCAAGAATGAACTTCACCCAAAGAAGATTATGCTGAGCGTTTGGTGGGGATTAGAAGGAATTATTCATTGGGAACTTCTCCCAACTGGTTGCAACATCACTGCTGATCTCTATTGTCAACAACTGAACCGAGTTGCAGCAAAACTGCACGGGAAGCAGGATAGAATTTATTTTTTACATGATAACGCCAGACCTCATATTGCAAAGTCGACATGTGAAAAAGTATTGAAGCTCGGATGGGCTACGGTTCCACATCCACCTTATTCTCCAGACTTAGCTCCTACGGACTACCACTTGTACCGTTCTATGTCTGATTATTTACGTGAGAAAAAATTCGACGACGAGAACGACCTCTAAATGAACCTTGCCAACTTCTTCGCCTAAAAGTCTCAAGACTTCTACGAACGCGGTATCCTTTCTCTACCAGAATGTTGGCAACAAGTCATAGACAGTAATGCAGCTTACATTGTTGAAAGCTAATTGTATTCTTGAAGTTAAAAAATAAAAAGAAAATTTTCAAAAAAAAAACGCAAAAACTTCTGGTCAACCCAATAATTTAAATTTCAAAATAAATAAAAAATTCAAAAGTCAAGCAAAATGTTTACTTTAATTCGAGCATGAAGTTCAAAGTTAGTACCCATGTAAACCTTTTAGGGATATAAACGGGTGTGGGTTGAATTAAGAACAACATACCCACACCCACACCACACCCTTTTCTTTTAGATTTCGGACGTGGGTGTGGCTGTGGCTATGGATGTGTGGGTCTCGGTTGCTATGCGTGTAAGTGGAAGTGTAGGTGGGGTGCGTATGAGTGTGAGTGTAGGTCGGGTGTCTTTACCTTCTGTTAGCGTCAGTGATGGATCACACTAACGCTAAACGATGATTAAGATGCGCCTTCTAGTCTAATTGGCTTAGGACAACTGCCCGGATAGCAGAAGGTATGGGTTCGATTCCCATGAAGGTCATCTTTTTCATCGTTCTGTCACATAACATCAGTGACACTGCTTGTCTCTTTCGTTCTATACATATGAAGCTTACATCTTCAGCTACACCCACACACACACACATTATTACACATACCCACACCGACACCCACCAACACCCACACCCCACACTTACCCTTCAGTCGTTTGTAGTAGAAAAAATTTATTACTTGATGCACGCCACACAATGACGAGTACTTGCGGGGCCAAATGGGAGTTCTGGTTTTCAGATACCGCTTTCATTGTCCACAGCCAAAACACAACTACATCTATCTGAACTCGAACCAACTCATACCAACACCTAAACCTCAACTGACACACACACAACCATACTCATCTAATTTTAAAATATGATGTTCATGATAGAGCTTATAGTGTCAGGAGACATTCGTTCGCACTCTTGTTTTCTATTATGTTATTTGTCACCAGAATCGAATACAATATGCGTATAAAAGAAAAAGATCTATGTTTCATCTTACAATTCGTTGTCACTGGTTTCTCGTTTGAGAAGTTTTGTAACAGTAATCTCGGTGCTTCGTTCGTTCAATACGGTCTGTTTCAAAACTTTCTCTTCGAAGAGCAAGATACCTGTTTCAGTATCAATTTCCATCGTTGTCCAAGAGTGAAGTGGTACTGTATTATCAAGTAAGTTGAGTGCACCACCCATCTCGATGTCGAACGTGATTACTTCAGTGTCATAATCTTCACTTTCATAGATGCGAGTCACAGTACAGCGACTTATAACATTCTTCAGTTTTTCATTGGCCCAGGTGTCACCGACAGAGAAATGTTTCAGTGGCATGTTAATTTTTGGATCAAAATTTTCCCGTGTTTTCGAGGAAAGGAGCCGACGCTGTGTTCGTTCTTCGGGTGGACTAAAGTATGCATGTGTATAAATCTTTTCAACTTCAGCACTGGCATTATGCGCTATATCTTCGAGTTCGACGACACGTATTGTGTATACTGTTTTTTCTTGTTTAACTTTCTTCTCTTCTGTCAAAATGTTGATGGTTGTCTTTGTTTTATTTTCCGCATAAGTGAATCTGTCGCCCAGTGAATATCGATTTCGGACTCGTACTGATGCAACAACATGAATGAATGAGAGAAAAACAACTAAAAACAACAGAGCTGCGAGGCAACGAGCCATGCTTTTGATTATGCGCGAACAGGAGAATGAAATTGCAACAATACATTCGTCGTTCTCTTTTGCTTACTTCTTTTATAGATTTACTGTTGTGAAACTGAGTCATTGTTGGTGTCGACAGTTACCAAGGTTAAACAAACACTGTTATAAAATGCCGTGTTGTGGAAAGGGGGTGAATGTGAATGCGTGTAGGTATGGGGTGTGGATGTGAGCAGATCGTTGGGTGTGGGTGTGAGTGTGGGTGGGTGTGGTGAGGTTGTTGGGTGCGGGCGTGGGTGTGGGTGCGGGTGTGAGTGTGAATGAGAGTAGAAGGGTGTGGCTGTGGGCCTGAGTGTTGGTGAGGATGTGGACGTGAGTATACAGGGGTGGGTGTTGGTGTGGGTTAAGAAAAGAACTGCATCCACCACACCCGCACACATCCACACCCCACACCCACACCCACACTTTCTCTTGCTTCTTTTTCGCGGAAAAGATGCTTTATTTGCACAAGATATACTTGAGTATTTGCTTTCATTTGTGTAGAAGAGCCACGAGCAATTGACAAATGTCACAGTTTGTTAACTGTCAGCAGCTGGTTTTTTTCAACTTTCAACAAAAACAGAACACAATCAATACTCAGGTGCAACGAAGCTGAATCAATACATGTTGAGAATGAAGTGGCACCGTTGTCAGTTCTATTGCGGGTGTGGGTGTGGGGTGGGTGCGGGTGTGAATGTGGGGTGGGTGCGGATGTGAATGTGGGCTGGGTGCGGGTGTGAATGTGGGCTGGGTGCGGGTGTGAATGTGGGCTGGGTGCGGGTGTGAATGTGGGCTGGGTGCGGGTGTGAAGTGAGTGTGAGTGTAGGTATGCATGCGGGTTTAGGAAGAGAAACGTCTCACACCCGCAGCCACAACCACAGTCATGCTCACACACACACTCTTCAAATAGCATCACCTGATACATCTCAAATCCAGTTGTAGACGATTCGAAATATCAATATAGTTGATTTCTTTGAAACACTCAAGAAAAAACAATCATTCATGAAAAAAACATCTGTAGATAAAAATCTTGTTCTCTAGATAGATTTTTAACTACGATTTTGGTTTCCTGGTTTAGGTTCATTGAGTCCATCGATTTCTTGATCGATTGCACCAACCAAAGCTTTTACAATGTAGTCACCTTTCGAAAATTTAAAGTTCGCTCCTTGATGTCGACATATATTTGCTTTTTCTGTTTTAAAATCATCTGTCACATCAACATTCTTCATCGTTTGATCAAGATGTGCCAAATAATCAACAGATTCTGGTTCGTCAGTGCAGATTAGAAATGATACATGAGTAGTTTCCGATTGTCGCTCGTTGCGCATAATATTTTCGAATTCTTCAAAATTCGGTGTACCCTCGTCATCTGTTGGGCATCCGTCGGTGGCGATGAATATTAACAGTTTTTTACTACTATTCTTTTGAGCTTCTGGCAGCTGAAAGAGCTGTCTTAGGGAACGCACCAGTGGTGTCAGTCCGCTTGGAGGGATGTTGAATAGCTGATCGGCTTCATTCGGATGTTTGATTGTGTATTTATTTGGTCGATTGAGAAAGTAAACATCGACACCATTCGGCTCGAATATACAACCAATTTTGATAACCATCTTTACAATATCACGAAGCTCATCCCAACGAGTAGTCTTACCTCCATCAACAGGCTCCTGCATGGAACCGGAATCATCGCAAAGTATGACAATCTTGAACTTTTCAAGTTTGCAAAGGCATTTAATTCTTTTGATTTGTATTTCATATCGATTAGCTAATTCAAGGAGTTGTTGATTAACTATTAAATTACAATATAAAATGAGATTTGATAGCTCTTCAACTTTCTTTTTTCTAAATCACGGCATACTAACAATGGTCAACTAGCATCAAAACAAAACTATTCATAGAATTGTCAAAACTGAACAATGCCATTCTATTGTAAAACTTCATAGGAAGAAAATTCCACATAAGAAAAATTGGCTAATACATGATTCTTTTAAAGAAGAAAACTGCATGCAAGAATGATACATCCTAGCTTTTCTTTTTATTGGTAAGAGATGAAATTAGATCTGAGAATTAAATAATGAATGTAAAGACGAAAGGTTGAGAGAACTAAATTGCAATGTACTTCAGTTCCAGAATGGAGAGTAGAAATTCATCCCCAAGCAAAACATAATGTCGTTTGGGCTTGTGGAATTTTTTGAAACTCATATAGATTTTGAAAGAAAATAGTGAGTATAACTGTTAAACAGAAGTATTAGCGACCCTTCTGTCTTCATGGACGACTTCCTCAATCTTGACAAATTCAGATTTTTTGCTCGATAGTGGAAAATATTTTTTCAGAAATTTAGAATTTTTCGAAAAATTATCGGTCCTCTCCCAAGTTTTGCCAGTTCAGAACGCTCCTGGTGATTAGGTATGATAGCCTATGAGAAATGTGTGAGTTCTCTGTTTCACCCCAGAAAGGGCTGTGCTAACAAGCGTTTTAATACAAAGGCATAGTTAGCAGCCATTGAAGACAGAGTTGGTACACTGCTTACACATATGGGATTCTTGTATTAGCAAATAGATATACTTCTAAACATCGAACTAAAATTTTCTAAAGAAAAAAATGCAGATTGTAAGAATTCTGTCCTGGTTTCTCCGAAATCTGAATATTTTTTCTGAAGACTTCAGTAATAATACT